CCACCTTCCCCCTCCCTTCCTCCCCGTAGTCGCAACCCTGTTGTTATGGCTGGAAGAAGCCACCAGCTCCTGAGACAGCCACCGAGTGGAGGGGACAGCGATGGATGCTGACAGTAGCAAAGGGAAGATGAGCATTTGACTAAACATTTCCTTTCTTCTCCAGGGCTCCCTCGCAGGCAGGTGGGAAGCCACAGAGGACCAGAGCCTGGAGAAAGCACTGCTTCAGTTGGAAGAGGAGCAGCAAAGGTACAAGGAGAAGCGTTCCCTCCTACTCGGTACCCCGGATGGTCACGGAAGGGAGGGAAAACCTGTCAGTGGTACCTGGTCTCCCCAAGGGATGTGGTTGGGCAAGCTGTTTTGGGAGGAGAAAGGTCCACAACCTGTTCCGTGGTGCAGTAAGAGTGTTGTGTGCTGCACAGGTCTGTTTTGAGTGGAGGGCTCTTCTGGGTGACCTCCAAAGGTCCCTTTCCATCCTCAGTTATTCTGTGGTTCAGTAGGTGAGGGACTCGGGACAATGCCAGAGACGGGTGATGCATCCAGTGGTCAGGCAGCATGAAGGGGAGGCAAGCCGTTAACTGTGGGCACCGTCAGAGTGAAGAGGAAGGGGCAGCCAAAATCGTAGATGGAAGTGGAAGGCTTAAAGTGAGGAGAAGGCACTGAGTTTGGCATCAGAGAGCGTTCTGGGTTGATGCTAGAAAGCGCTTTTGCTGCCACTCAGTTTGGGCACAGAGTCAGTGCTGGGGGAGGTAGGAAATGCCGGGGATGCTGCTTGTGGATGGCGGTTGTTGAGTGCCCTCACTGCTGTTCCTCCCTTTGCAAGGTGTGAGAATCTGGCTGAAGTGAACACTCTCCTGCGGGAGCACCTTGAGAACGCGAACGAGGTGAATGCAGCCCTCCAAGAGGACGTTGGCAAACTGACAGCGGATTGGATGAGGGCGCGGGAGGAGCTGGAAGCGAAGGAGAGGGAATGGCGCAGGGAACGTGAGGTGAGGCTGGGCTGCGGGAATGTCCGAGGCGATGGCAGCGTGGCGTGAGAGTGCGTTTTGTTTGTGGCCTGGAGAGCGTGCTGTGAGAAGGTTGGGGCTGTGCTGAGGCTGTGTGGGTGTTGAGGAGCAGAAGAGAGGGGTGTGGGCTGGAGGAGTGTCGGCAAGTTGCGGTGATGGAAGAGGCCCACCGGCTGTGGCCATGCTGCTCCGTCCTAAAGGCAAATGCTGCTGGTGGTGGGCGCTGTAGGACAGTCCCACGGGAGCGCTGGTCTTCCTGATGGCTGTTACATCTTGGCCCAGAGCAGCGGAGACCAGAGAGAGATGATGAATGGGGCTGAGCTTGCTTTGCTGAGAGCCGCTCCTGCAGGAGGAGGGTGGATGTTCCCTTCTTTGCAGTCGGGTGGCAGCTCTCCTGAGGCCGCTTCTGTGGTGCCTCTTCAGTTCCTGATGCCCCTGTTGGAAGAGTTCTGAAAGGAGACCCCGCGATGGTGGTTGTACTCTCTACCATCTGAGAGACTTGTACAGTGACAGCAAAGGCTGAACCGGCATTTCTTTTTGTCTTTGCATCTTTAGCTTTATGACAGCCACTTCAGGGATGAACGTAACCGTCTGCTCAGCCTGTGGCGTCAAGTGGTGACCTTCCGCCGTCAGTTCCTGGAGATGAAGACTGCCACTGACCGGTGAGTAGAAGCTGAGGCGAGATCTCTTGCAGAAAAACGTCATTTCCATTCTACACGTGCTTTTTTGAGCCTGGCTGTTGGGTTAGTTGCAGCTGAAGGTATGATTTGTGCTGTGGCAGTGGGAAGCAATGGCAGGAAGCGTGCTTCAGGCTCTGTTCAGAGTCCTTCTGTTTGATGCTGGTTTTCAGAGACAAGCGAGGGGCTCGGGCTGCCAGCAGTGCTGAGGCCCTGAAGGGATGACTTGACTGTGGTGGTGTTTGGGCACAGTGACACAGACACAGGCATGTCTGGACAGGTTGGAAGAGACTCACCAAAGCTGTGCATGCAGCGTGTGGAGCAGTCCCTTTTCTAGAATGAGGAAAATCATACTTAAATCTCACTGAGTGTCTTATTCCCCTGCTCCTGATGCAAGGATAACCCATGAATACACATATATGTTTTCGTCTTGTTTCCAGCTTACATTTATTCTGGTCAGTTTGTATCCTCTTATTCCTGTTCCAACAGTGTTGAGAGAAAGAACAGCTTCTCTACCCTGTCACTGCCTTTATCCAGTTTCTTTGGCTGAGTTTGACAGCTCTTGTTCTGATTGTTTTGTTGTTCTTGGGCTCTCTGAGATTCCCTTATCTCAGTTGCCTTCTACACCAACAAAACCAGCACCGTAATGGTGCCTGCTTCTGGTGTCAGCGTGCGATTTCCACCTCTGGGTTACTGTCAGCCATCTGTCTTATTTGATGCGAAGCCTTCCTGAATGTGTCGAGTATGCCTGAGCTACGGTTGAAGTCTCGTATTCTTTGGACTTTTTTGTTACACGTTTTTAGGCTTATTCTTCCACCCCCTTCCTGAAATGGTTATGATGTAGATATTGTCGTGAGCCTCTGTGCAGTGCAAGTGGTGATGGTAAGAGGCAAGTGGTGATGGTAATAGGTGGCTTCAGGCTGATGCCCGAGGTATAAAAATCTGAGGACCTTGGCAAACTCCCTCCCGTCTATTAATGAATATGTTCATATGATTGAGCAGGAGCAACAATTAATGAGAGTCATTCGAGGTCCTTGAAGCCTCCTGGCTGTGCCATGCGTTTCTTCTCATCTCAGAGGAGAAAAGAGCCTCATTGCTCAGCTCTGCAGCTGATTCATTGCTCACTTGCCATGGTGCATCTTGGTGCCAGAGGGTCAGAGGAATGATTCGTCCCTAAAAAAGATGTCATCTTTCCTGCTCAGTTACGTGCAAGTCAGCTAATAAAGATGGTGGTGTGAACATTGACTATTTCTGTATTCTTCTGCAGAGATTTGTCAGAGCTGAAGGCAGAGCAAATGAGGCTTTCTGGATCTGTAATTGTAAACTGCTCCTGCCTAAACTCTGGCATACAGCTCTGGGAGTCCATCACTCTGAGTAGACCTGTCTTGAAGGATCAGGAACAGCAGCAAGTGGGACAGGAAATAAACCAGAAGACTCAGGAAGTGATGTGCTTACAAGCCCAGGAGGACTTGGAGAAGAAGGAGCTTCAAGACAGGTAAAGGTGTATTCATCTTTGCTGTTCCCAACGTTCTCTTCTGTGACCGCCTCTTGGATTCCTCGATGGGCTGTTCCCATTGAAAACACCCCCATTCTGCACAGTCTCCCGAGTCAAGCTGTTGCCTTCAACAGCAAGGACAGAAAACAATGTTTGATTGAGAGAAGCCCTTCTGGGTAAGAGCAGGTTGGAAAAGAGATTGTATATTACAGTGCTTTTGCTGTGAACTGATTCTTGGTGAGAAATGGAGAGGAGCTTAAAGAGAGCTCTGTCTCTTGTACAGCCCTTTTGCTCCCCAGGGCTGTGCTAAAGGAGTTGGGAGAAATTTGCCCAGCATCGTCATAAGCACTGTAGCACCTCTGTACTGACAATTCCTTTCAAGACAGAGTACAGAAGGCCTTTGGGGCAAGAAGTACAGGTTTCCAACATCAAGCATATTAACCTGTAGAGATGAACACTGCCTTTGCTGTGTTTTCTGGGTTGAACTTTCTCTGCTATGCTTCTGGGAGCTGCTTAGCTCTTTAACAGGTGATGGTGTGCGATGCTTTTGGAGTGGCACGTGGACCTTCTCTTCTCAGGGTGATGGAGCTCTCAGCCTTGCTTGTACAGTCTCAGAAGCAGAACGAGGAGAAGGAGAAGACCATGAAAACACTTAACGACACTGTGGAGATTCTAGTATGTTTTACCTTTTTCTGGGAGATAGCCCAATGTTTGCTCTCCAGCCTTGGCGCAAAGAGGCATGGCTTCCTCAAGAGAAAGAGTGGTAGAGATACCAACTGTACAGGAACATCAGGGACATTGCCAAAATACTTGTGTGTTTGGCGCGTGTGGAGTCAGTCCAGGTGCAGACAGTGGCAGGGGAGCTGCAGGCAATTCAGGTGTCTTCCTCAGGATGGTTGCACCAATGCTATTCTGCCTGTGACTTGAAGTCTCTAGGGATCAAAGTTCCTTGGAATTGGCAGCTTCTACAAAACCTAGCTGTTGGTCTTTCTCTTCTTTGTTTTAGCAAAGAAGAAATTGAATAGGTATGGGAAGGACTACGCTGGTATCACCAGGGCTGATGCTTATCAGCATGACAATGCTACTGAGTATGGGAATGTTACAGAGGGGAGTAGCTCTTCCCTGCCCACCCTTTCCTTATTCTGTTCTCAGGAAGCAAGTCAGTTAGAGAGAGAATATGAAGCTTCATTGAGTAAAAGTGCCAAAGAAGAGAATCTTTCCCTCCAAAAGCTGATAAAAGATATAACTGAGGTGAGTACAGAGTTGGGACCACATCCCTATAAGTTTGATTTTAAAGTACTCGAGGAAGGCAACAGATTAGCCCAGAGAATAGGTATAGATGTTGTATACTGTTTAGGTTAACTGCTACTGGCTGTTTAAGTTTTACACTACTTTTCTGACATAGAGCCTGTTATAATTTCTGAGGTGGCTGACCTGTGACACTTGAGCTGAGTTGCTACAAGTGTGAGCACCTTTGCCTTCACCGTCCCGCTGAGGTCTCTCCTGGACTGTGCTTCTTGAGTTGGCTACTTGACATTTGTATTCCAGTGTTTCTTCGAGGCTTCCCCCGCCCTCCTTGAGCGATGAGACACTGCATCAGGGTTTTATAAAAGGTCACTGACTCAATCGATGCACTTGCTAACTCTGCTCCTTCACTCTACATTCCCTGACCATTATTCCCTGCAATTCTCTGCAGAATTGCAACTGGTCTAACTGTTGAGAGGTAACTTTAACTTCCTCCTAAACTTCACCCTATGGAGGGGAGTTTAATCATCAGATCTGTTACACAGCCTCTTGCAAAGTCAGTTCTTTACCCTTTACGTAGTCATTTTTATCCTCTGGTGCTACTGCTCAGAGTCATTATGAACATTAGCTTTTTCATTGCTGTTTTCCAGTATTCCTCAGTTTCCTGCTTCCCAGGGCAGCATTAATGTTTCCTTTCTTTGCTATTTCCAGTGTTGATCTGGTGCTCGTGTATACAGCTCTAAGAAGCTGAAGGAGACTAAAATCATTCCTGAGAGCTTCGAGAAACTGAGGTTTCATGCAGCCTCCATCCACTTCACACTTGTTTCTTCTTGTTTATAGCAGTATCTGTATTAAGAAATCACTGGAGTACTTGTGGCCCCAGGGACAAAACTTCCTTGTTGCCTGAAGAAATTAGAGGATTGAATTTCTAATGGCTCTAGGGTGAAGTTTGGGGGGGAAGGAGAAACAGATAAAGAAAACCAAGTAGAATGAGCAAAGAGTAACAGCTTGATGCGGGCTTTCAGGTGGTGTTAGAGGACAGTGACAGCACGGTCAGCATTATCTGCACTGACCGTTCCCAGCATGCAGAGTCTGGCAACACCCTCTCTTGTCTGAGCTCCGTTACTGCAGAGCATACCTTTGTGTTGATTCAGGAAGCACTGGCAAGGAGGCGAAGAGCAACACAGGTGAGAATTTCTGCTCGTCTTCACCACTGGCCACAGGCTGCTAATGCCTCACTTAGACCGAAACCTTTCCCTTTACTTAGCCGCTTTCTTTCTAGACATCCCACTCTTGGTACCGTATTGTGTTGCCAGTCTCACCAGCTCTGTGTTCTACTGTTTTTCTGTCCTTGATCTCCCCCTCCCCTGCCCCATCTCAACTTTTGCCTTCAGGTGAGCTGTCTCTCAGCTTGTTTCTTCTCTCAG